CAGATAAAACTGTTTGCTTTAGCAAAAAGTCTGTGTTTAGAATCCTAATCATGATATGAAGATTTCTTGCAAACATGTTTTCACAGAAACTAAAAATATATCCAGTGCCTTTTAAGTGTCCTTTTAACCATCCCAGCACTTTGTTGCCCATGCTAGTAATAGTGGTTTACAAAACCATATATGGGACCCACAGCCAGAGGAAAGACTATCTCTTATCAGAATCCATGGGTGATTATCCTACTTGTTTTGAAGCCTGTGCTGGTGAGAGGATATGAAGGTTCTGTCCAGTGTGCCCAGCACAATAACTCCTAGGGATACCAGCTGGGGCCAGCCCTGTGGCATCAGTTCCACACATGCTCTCTGTTACTCAGGGGGCCACACTGGGGAGCAGAGAGAGAAGAAAGGGGGAGTCAAGCAGGGAAAGGGAAGGAAGAAGGGATGGAGGGAGAGAGGGGATCCCCATCACACTACAGTTATTACCCATGGAGCAGGTCTGAAGGTTTGTGGGACATTAGCATCCCCTCTACAGTAGCAGGACAGTGTCTTAAACACTGTGAGGATGACATGGAGGAGAAATCTCAGTTGTAAATATAGATGGATTTTCTAGGAAACAGAAATGCACTTCTTTAAGTAATTAATTTTATATTTTAATTTTATGTGTATAAGTGTTTTGCCTGCATGTATATAAGTGCACCTGTGTCATGCAATGCTTGCAGAGGCCAGAAGAGGGTGTTGGACATCCTGGAACTGGAGTTACAACCACCAAGCCATCTCTCTAGCCCCTTCTTTAAGTAATTCGATTTTGTTTTAAGTCAGGGTCCTCCTGTAGCCCCAGCTGGTCTGGAACTCACTGTGTAGATCAGGCTGGCCTCAATCTCATAGAGATCCACCTGTCTCTACCTTCTGAGTGAGTGCTGGGATTAAGGGCATGCACTATCATGCCCAGCAAACTGTATAATTTTTAAAGAATGTTGATTATTTGCGAGTGAAAAACAGCCCCAGTTTTTCTGCCTTCCGAGCTTAAAGGAGAATACTTAACACCATTTATTCCCTTCTACTCTCCTTTGTACTAATTAAAAGCACATCTTCATGATTGGTCCATATATGTAGCATCAGCTCAGGTTATAGGCCCCATTAAAGTCCTGACAAACAGAACTATTAGGACAAAGGCTAGGATAGACCATCAGTGATGCTTTAGAGCCTCATTGTACTTCTCCAGTCCAGTTTCCTCTTACCTTAGGCCAGGAGGTGACAAACCATAGCCTTCTGCCTGTATCTAGCCAAAGTGTTAGTGGGACATAGCTGTGCCATTCACCTACCCACTATCCTTTGCTGCTCCTGGCTATATCTGCAGAACTGAGTAGTTACAACACAAGGTCTAGGATATTTGCTATTTGGCTATGTAGGGAAAAAAAATCACCACTTAGATGACCGTTATATGCCTTTATTTCTCAAACCTCGAGCATTTTCTCCCCTGGATAGTTATTCTTAGCCAATAATTTCTGGGGAAAAGAAACCTTCAGTAAAGAATTTTCAGGAGTTCCCATCATCAGACTCTGCCACCCAACCTGCATGTTGCTTCCTGTTCCAGAGGATGGGATGTTGGTATTTGCATTTCTGTCTAAGGGTAGATCTTTATCTTCTTTTTCTCACCCAAGCTTATTAGTCCTGACAGTGCACTGTCTCTCTTTTCTCCCTACATCGTCAACATTTCCCGTGTAGTAGATGATTTCTGACAGATAAATATGCTGAAGTATCCCTCATGTCAACTCTATCAAGTAAGCAAAAGTCCCATTCACAACATCTTCACCCAGAGCTGGTCCTGTCACAGCACCCCTGGATTCTCCATTAGCTGCATGCTACTGAAACTTTACCCTCAACCACCTCAAGCTGGAATTTCTTAAGTCACAGATTACCATTGTCAAATTTGGTGTCAATTATTTTGAGCTATCTGAACTGATACTTTGGCAGCAATTTAGTACAGTTTTTCTCTCCCTCACCCTTGAAGAAGCTTCTTTACTGTTCTCCAGATTTTTCTCTAGAGCTCTTCATTCCTCCTGTCTCCTCTCTGATTGTTCCTAACCCTTCCATTTTCTAGACATTACACTCAGCTCTTTGATTTACATGTTTGCATTCATATGCTCAAAGCGATACTGTCCACTCATTTTATCCCCAGCCTCACCTTCTTTTCTGAATCTACAGACCGCCAAACCAGCAACCCTGTTGAATGGTGAATAGGCACCTTTTTTCCTTCCCATACCTTTTGCCCCAGTATTTCCAGATATTTTGGAGACTCCGAAACTTCAAAATCTGCTGACCCTACTTTGGAAATACATCCAGATCCTAACCAGTTATTGTCATCTCTTCTATTACCACAAATTCTCAGGCATTTCTTGCATGAAAACTAGTCTCTCAGGTCTAGCTTCAACAGCTTTGTCCCACCCAGAGCACACAGTCCTCTGTCTTAGTTAGCTTCTTTTTTTTTTTTTTTTTTGGTCTTTTTGAGACAGGGTCTCCCTGTTGCCCCAGCTGTCCTGGAACTTACTATGTAGACCAGGCTGGTCTTGAACTCACAGAGATCTGACTGCCTCTGCCTCCTGGGTGCTGGGATTAAAGGCGTGTGCCACCATGCCTGGCCCTGTTAGCTTCTTTTTTTATGGTGGTAAAAACACTGACCAAAACCAACTTGAGGGGAAAAGGGTTTATTTGGCTTACATCTCTTGGGTCACAGTTCACTGAGAGAGCCCAAGGTAGGAACTCAGGGCAGGAACTTGGAGGCAGGAGCTGAGCACAGGCCAGGGAGGAACACTGCTTACTGACTTGCTCCCTGTACCTGTTCTCAACCTGCTTTCTTATACAATACAGGACCAGCTGCCCAGGAGTGGCATCACCCACAGTGGGCTAGGCCTTCCCACATCACTCAAGAATCAAGAAAATGCCCTGCAGACATGGCCACAAGCCAGTCCAGTGGAGGTAATTCCCCAGTTGAGGCCCCCTGTACTCAGGTGTGTCAAGTTGATAAGTAAAGCTATCCAGCACATCCTCTAAATATAAATCACATTGTAACATACTGAAGCCATTTCAAAGGATTTTATCTTGCTCAAAACAAGAATCCAAACTCTTTGTACAACTTAGGAGGAAACCACATAATTGAATCCTGTGCCTCTCTGACCAGTCCCACCAGCCGTGTCCTGAGCCCTGTCCTACTATGCTGTTATTCTGTTTTCCTGGTCTTTCAGCATGCCAAGTATACCAAGCCTGGGGCCCCTGTGCCTCTTCTTGAAACACTCTTCTCTGTATCTGCACCACCCTTTCCTTGCTTCGTTTAGGCATCCATTCAAATGTCATCTTCCTAGAGAATCTCTGGATTCAGTGGTCTTCAGTCATCACTCTGTCCCCTCACCCTGCCTTATTTCCCTTCCTGTCTCATATAACCTGGTATTTCTTTTTAAATGTTATACAGACCTACTTGCTCTGTTGAATTCAGTTCCAGGGACTTGAGAGACTTGGAGGATTTTGTTGTTGCTCACTTCTGTGGTTTTAGAATCTATTATGGGTGGCTAGTCAAGTAAAGTCTGTTGAGTGAGTATATGAAAGAAAGTAATTAGAACTAGAGACTTATCTGGACAATGTTAAAAGGACATTACAATAAACATGTGTTTAATACTAGAAAGATTGTGTTGCTAAATAAGGGGTATCCCTTGTCACACTTGCTTTAACAGTCAACTATACTTGTAAGTTGGTATCAAGTAATTTCAGAGTTTTGTCTAGGGTGATATGGAACTTTCCAACAGTTCTGGCTATCTGCCATGTAACAAATATCTTAAGATAACTGAGGTCCTTCTCCAAAGAAACTTTAGCAAGACACTAGAAAACCCTTTGTGAGGAATATTATAAGCATAAACCTTATACTTAATGGAGGAATTCTGCTTGCTGTTCTCTGGGAGTCTGATTTGGACACTTTTGTGTCCAAGGATTTTGTTTGTTTCCTTCAAAGTTAGAGAAAGCACTAGATAAAGATAGTACTTCTGCCTTTGGGAATAAAGCTCTTGTTGCTTTGCATGACTAGTTTCATTTTCGTGATGCCCACTTGACAGTCAGGTGCCGTTAGTACCAGCTGTTCAGACCTGAAGCTTTAGCACTCTTGTGAGCCCCATCCTCATATTTGTTCACACTACTGGGTAGACTTAAATACTATAGGTTATGTTCTGTAAAATAAAGACTCCATGCTTTTTGACTAATCCTGCCAAGTATAACTCCCAGATTTATCAGCCCATGCCTTAATATGTCCATGTGAACTATTTGGGAAGGAATAGAAACAGCTTATAACCTCTGTTAAAGTGACCATATTTTTTTCTATTCCAAATTTCTAGATTCACCTCTTTCTTCCGTATTACTACTTAAGAACTTCAATTTATTAAAAAAAATATGATGCTCTATGAATTGTTTCTAAATGCTGATGAGTGGTTTTACTCATGTCCCCTAGTAATTTTCCAGTTGTGGGGAAAAAAATTTATCCTGTAATCTTCTCCATAGTTGTATTTGTCCATGGAATGATCCGCTCGAGCTGAAGAATTGGGAAGTTGTAGACTGTTATTTTTAGGACTCTGTATCACTTCACCCTTTTTGCCAGAGTGGTTCCTGGCTAACTTTCCCATGAATTTTTAACCTTTGCTAGGCTTTGCTTATGTAACAGGAAGCAGCAGGCTGTCAGGAACAAACAAATACCAGCATATCAGGCACACACAGAGTAGCAACTGATTTAGTTTGCCCTTCCCGCTCTTAAAGTAGACTGATACATGCTCTCAACTTGAAGCCTTTTAGCATGGATTAAAGGAATACACTTTAACTTTGGAAGGGCAAGATATTTAATGAAGACTATGATTTAATCCAGGCCACTGGGGGGGAAAATGAGCTTATTATAAGGTGAACTCTATGGTGGTGTCATGTCCTGGGACTGTGGATTTAAGTATATCTTCGCTTTTTCTCCAACTCTTAAGGCTGGGGTGATGTGCAAGCTTCAAGAGAGAGATGATATCGGACGTATTGAACTGGTCCAGAAACTGGCAAGAGAAAACTGTCAGCTTCTACAGACAGACAAAAAAGAGCCGGAGAAATCAGAACACGTAAGCCCTTTTCCTCCTGGGGATGTAGGTTTGAAGGGGAGGAAAATGGTTCTGCTTGGTTGTATATTTGAAAGAGAAACTATTTTACTTTGATTGTTTAAGTTTGGGGGATTTTGTCTCCCCATAGGCATCCTCCATAGCAAAGATGATAGTAGCTCTAAGCTAGTGGTTTTAGAACTGGGTTCATAAGGAAGTCTTCCTCATGAGCCGTGTATACTGAGACTGTGTTTAGACAGCCTTGAGTGCATGCCTATCATGATCCTGATTTGATTGTTTCCAAGTTTCACATTGGAAGTTTTGTCCCGATCAGACAGTTCTGAAAGCATGGATTTGGATTGTTTTTGTTTGCTCTTTCCCCAGCTTGTCAGGCTACATCCCAACTGAGTAGTGCTTGGTGTTCAGTTTTGGTACCATTTTATGTTGATGTGCAAATGAGGTGAAAGAAGTGGTCTCACTTCAACCAGAGATGGGTGCAACTTTTGAGTTGAGATCCTTAAATTGATTCCACAGGGTCCTCAATCAGCAGAGTGGGATGGGGGCTGCGTGCCAAGACTGGAGGGGGAACTCAGATCTGGGATGAGAAAGGAGCATGGGTTTTGAAAGACTATTCCGATGTACTTTTTTTTTGTCTTTTTGAGACAGGGTCTCCTTGTAGCCCCAGCTGTTCTGGAACTCATTATGTAGACCAGGCTAGCCTCGAACTCACAGAGATCCACCTGCCTCTGCCTACGATGTACTTTTATGTTTAGTTTGGGCATGGATCTCATTTCCAAAGGAATGTACCCTAAGTCCCTAGAAATAGATAAAGACAGATTATAACCGCTGTCACCATGAGGGCGGGTCAGATGGAGCGTTCCCAGTAGCTTTCTGAACACTGTGTTCCAACAAGAGTGACATTGTGTGGATACAGTGAAAGCTGGGGGAAAGGACTAGTCCCCTGAAAGCAGTTATTCAGCTGGAGCCTTAGAGTGGAGAATGCTGTCCTCATGCTGGCAAAACAATGTGACCACTTTCTTCTGACGCACATTGTGATCCACTGATTGTTGTTTGTAAGACTGTCTAGGACTGCTCATGAAGGAGAACGTTTCTGTCTTTCTCTGGCTTTAATTTTTCCTTCAGATTTTATTTTTAAGCCCTTCCAAAGGGGAATAAGTTACTTCATGCTTTTTCAGCTCCAAACCCATCGATATGAATGTCAGGGTTTTGCTGAACAAGAGATGGGATGGGATGTTCAGGGTTGGATGGCTGTTTAGCTTATTAACACAGAGTATCCTCTACAGTGTGGTTTAGCACTGTAGCAGTTGGTGTCTCAAGGGGGAGAATCGTGAGGCAATTTCAAAGCCTGTGATTGAACTATCTCAAGGCTACCTATTGGCTTTATAGTTGGAAGACCAAGACATCTACACTTTGCTGGGTACTACAGAAAACATCAGGACTGGTTTAAGGTGTCGAAAGTACTCTGAAGTTTGGAACTGCCACAGCCTGATTCTTAGTCATATCCTTAGGATATTTGTGTATCCTATTGTATAGCTTGACTTTCTCAAAATGATGCTCCTTTTGATTGATTTTAATTTGAAGAGCAGCAGTTTTCATATGATTTCAAGATGTATGTCGTCCTCCATTTTAACATCTCTGAAGTCTGAGTCTTAAACCACTGATGATATGAAAACATGTCATAGTGTAATTGGAAGTGTTTTCCTTTCCTGGTGGACCTTTAAATGAGTGCTTTATCTTATAATTGATTGCAAGTGAGATACAATGAACCAGTGACAATTTGAGGTAGGGCAAGTTTGTTTAAACCCAAAAAGTAAAGTGCTACTCCCCACGTAGAGATCGTGGGCTTTAGATCACGAAGAACTTTGTGCTGTTAACAGGACACCTATGTTATTTCCATCAAGAATAGTATAATTACAGATAATGAGACTATAATTGCCTGCAAATATGTAACTGTAGACATCTGTAGCTTGCACTATTCATTGTTAATGCTTTTAACAGAGACAGAAATTTCATGGGTGAAGATTTGCAGCTTGACTTACGGCTATTTCCTTTGTTGCCTTTAAACCTTTTAAGTTTTTTAAAAATAGAACACAAATGTTTTTGACGTCTTACATGAAGGTCATATGTTGGATGTATTTGAAATGTTTGCATCTGAGAAGGAAGATGGTGTATAAACAAACATTAGAATTATGGCTTTTTCCATATAGACTTTCCCAGGAAGCTTAAAGTAAAGCAAGGTGACAATCAAGGAGCTTCCTTTCTCAGTGGCAAATCTAAACTCAGCTGCACCTGATCTCCCATCTGCAGAATGACACCACTTGAACCGGTCAGCACCCAGAGCTGAAATTGTGCTGCTCACACTAAAGAAAAGATAAGACTATATACTACGGTGTGTATGTGTGTGTGTATTTTTATAATAGTTGACTAAAATCCAAGCCGCCTGACCTTATTTTAACCTTCCTTGTCTTGGGTATCTACTGTAATGATACCTTTGCTTTTTAATCCCAGGCATCTACTCTTGCTTGTGAAATATCATTTATAGCACACAGCATGGAGAGAGGAAAAGTGCAGTTTATCAGTGCAAACCTAAATCTGCTGCTTCCACATCCTGTTTCAATAATAATGACCAAACCCTGGGATTGTATACAGATTGCCTCTCTTTCATCATTTAAAAATCCTTTATCTACCTCATGGAGTTTTCCTTGGCCAAGGCTAGCCAAGTAAATGGTGGCAACATTTCGGGCTGGAGAGATGGCTCAGCGGTTAAGAGCACCGACTGCTCTTGCAAAGGATCCGGGTTCGATTCCCAGCACCCACATCGTGGCTACGAACTGTCCTTAACTCCAGTTCCAGGGGAATCCAAAGACCTCCACAGCATTGCACAACACGGGTGCACTCACATACATGCAGGCAATACACTCATACACATAAAAAATAAAAATAATAAAATATTAAAAAAATAATGGCAGCATTCAGGTTAGAATCCCAACTGTCTATTTTTTTATTTTATTTTATGTGTATGAATATTTTGCCTGTATGTATGTAGTTGTGACATATGTGTGCAGTTCCTGTGGAGGCCAGAAGAGGGTGTTGGAGTCCCTGGAACCGGAGTTTGCCATATTGGTGCTTGGAACCAAATCTGGGTCTTCTGCAAGAGCAGCCAATGCTCTTAACCATTGAGCCATCTCTTCAGCCTCCCCCCAGCTGCTTATTGAGTTATTTTTTCTACTAAATCCTGTTCTTTAATTCTAGAACTCCGCATTCCCTCTCATACATATGTACCAAAACAGGATAGTTACTTTAAGTATCACTGTACTGAGAATGACATGAATTTAATAGAACAAAGCCTTTGCAGCTGTTATGTCTTCTTACAAATTAAAAGGGATTAGAGGTCTCTGAGTTGGCATTTTTTCTAGTATTTTCTTAAACTGGCAAATGCCTTGATTATAAATTAAAGCAATCATAGAAATGTTTCACTCTGTGCTTATGCCAAGGTGTTTCAGGGAGGGAAAGTTAAATGTCTTTATCACTGGTTTCTCAGAGATCACTCAGTGTGACTATTCTCCACTAACTAGCTATAGGCAAAATGGGGCAGCACTCATTCTTATGTGTTTAGTATGTGAAGATGTAAACAAGATGGCAGAACTAGGGCTCTGTCTTCAAAACATAACAATGGGAGGAATTAACAGTCAGTCATTAATTATTTAAAGAAATTACTTCTTACATTGGCATTGGATTTTTGAGTCTTAATTCTATGATTATATCAGTACAGGAAAGGTTCATGTGTTACCAAACAAGAATTTTGCACCTGATCTTGGGGCATGGTAGTCAGAATGATGGGCAGGGCAGGGAAGAGTATCTTAGGCAGAGAAACCAGCTGAAAGGCATAGTTAGCTATTGGTGATGTATGGGGAATGGAAAATTGTGGGCTGGAAGGGAGACTAAAATGTAGTTGCGAAAGACCTAGCTAACACTCCAGGGAGTTTAGACTTGTCTTTCTGGCAAAGGAGAGCCATCAAAGGAGGCAAGTGGCATGACCAGTTGCGGGCTTTGTAAGATCTCTCTGGCTTTGATTCAGAGGAAAAATAAAGTGAGGAAGAGGGAAATGTTGGCCAGAACCTTAGAATGCCATTGTAGCCATTCCAGTGAAAGGTATTAGCCTGCGTTAGACTGTGGGAACTACAAAGGCAGTAGGTAGATGCTAAGAGACATATAGGCATGAAATTGACAGAAGTCGATGAATCATAATGGGGGATGTATGTACTATTTTATATTAAGTAATTTTTGAATACTGATAAAGTTTTCTTGGACATAGAGTAGAAATAAGTATGCTGTGGTTGTTTTTCATTGTTTGTTCTTGTCTTTTGAGACAGAATCTTGCTATGTAGCCCAGCCTAGCCTTGAACTCCCCCTGAATGCTAGGATTATAGGTCTGTATCAACATGCCTAGCCAGGAATGCTCTGATTATTGCCAGAATGGTTGGTCACCCTTGGGTTTTGCCCAAAAGCCATATGAGCCATTGACATTGCTTTGTTTCCCTGGGCTCTCAGTGTATATCTGGTTAATGAGTTGTTGGTTGGCTAACAATATGGAGACACATGGACATTCTTTCCAGAATAATCCCTTTGAAATACCTTCAGCCAAGAATATCTCTGATTACCCCAATGAATCTGTCATTTGACCAAAGGTTTGCTGCTTGCTGTATTGATGTGTGCTTTGTGCAGAAGTCACTATCATGTTAGGCTTTCTCCCCCAGCCTGTGTCATCTGAGTCAGATTTACTGTTACTTTCCAATGTTCTCCACCATTTATTATTCACTAAACTTTTACCTAGGTTGATAATCAGAAAATTTAGAATAGCTGTGGTAGCTCCTATTCCTCAAGAAATTAATCTAGTTGTAGAGAAAAGACAATGACATGAAAGGTCTGCAGGAAGGATGCAGTGAGAATCCAACAGGTGTACCTGGAATCCTGATTCTTTCTTATAGCAGAGGTGAAGTTTG